TGAAACGGCTAAAACATTGAGAGAAAAGGAAATACCATATAGATGGTTAGCTCTTGGACATTTGGCTGTGAATATAAAAAATAAAACATTCACAGCACATAATGAGATGACGGGAAAAAACTTGTTGAAGCTGTTATGAAATTGAAAGATGGGGAGCTGTGAGGGGAACAATATACTTTGGCATTGATAGCTAGGTTATAGGATAAGTAAGAGGTAAGAATTCCAAGCAGGATGTTTTAATACAAGAGTAGACTGTTTCTCTTAACATGTTTATGAAGGATAGAAATATAGAAGAGGTGTTTAACTTGAAGTTTAGAGTTTGCAGTGCCATAAATGGGTGTAGCAAGGAGGCGATGAGTGTGCCCCGCCCAAGACCTCCGTATATAGGGAGAGAGGTTATTTGGCCTCTCGCTGTAGAGGGGTTCTCTACAGCGCCCATAATCGGAGGCAACCCTTTCAACTCTTCGTTTTAGGTACAGAAGAAGAAGATAGAAGAATATAGCATTATGTGAGTTAGTAGAAACTGTAGTTTTTGTGTGGTATTATGAGGATTAATAAGTTATGGGGAAGTTGGATGGGATCCATAAACGGGTAAGATAGGGGCATAAGAAAAGAAGAGGGATTAAAAGAGAGAGAATTTTTTTTTTCCTTTTGTTTGTATGTTTGTTTCAAGATTGTTTAAAAATGGAAAATGAGCATATCAATTAAAAAAAAGAACCAGGACCTACCATTGGTGGCTGCATGTGAACCACCAATCTGCAAGCATGCAGCAGGAAGTCATGTGACAGTCATATGAAAGAGGAAGAGCTAGAATTATGTCATGGGTATCAAGGCCAGAGGAGCAGACCAACAGAGCTGGAGATATGAGAAGCACAAGTAGAAAGCCAAAAGATGTATCATAGAGGAAAAAGCTAATGGCAAGAGAGCCAGCGTGGTGTAGTGGTTAAGAGTGGCGGACTCTAATCTGGAGAACTGGGTTTGATTCCTCACTCCTCCACATGAAGCCTGCTGGGTGATCTTGGCCCAGTCACAGTTCTTTCATAACTATCTTAGCCCCACCTGCTTCCCAAGGTTCCTGCTGTGGGGAGAGAAAGGGAATGGTACTCCTTAAGGTAAAGTAGGGTATAAAAACCTACTCTTCTTCTTCAAATGGAGGAAGCCATTTTGTTGCTCTTAGAGCACAGCCTTTGTTCACCAAAAAAGGAGCAAAACAAAATGGCAGCATTGTAGCCGCTCACAACCCAGCTCAATGACTCACCTAATGGTCACAATCCATTTGTTGAAGATCCATGATCTAAAATATCTTCTTACTGTATGTTCGTGTACATTACCATTCTAGTCTGTGTATCTGTGCAACTAGGTCTACAGTATGCATAAAAGTTCTTGCACCCTACAACTGTGGAACTCCCTAGAGCACTGTTGAAACTGTTAGAAAATTGAAATGTTCCTGTTTAAAGGTTAAATGTATCTGAATGTGGTAAAGGATATCAGGGAACAGGCACAGTCCATGATACTGCCCTTGTTCAAATTTGCCAGCTTTGTTGTTACTGACACTTGTGCCAAAGGCAGTTTAGATTTCATTGATGAGTTCTTGTTCTTTGAACAGCTTGTCACGTAACTTTCAACGTACATCCAGCCTTTGTCTGGAGCAACTCCTTAGATTGTGTACAGTGGCACAGTTTCATATGCTTTTATCTTAAGAGCTGGATTTAGTATTATGTTTTTAAATTAAAGTTGTATTAAGCCATCTAATTTTCTTGCTTCTGGTGCATGATTGTACCTTGAGAAGTTTTAACATTAGAAGATTTACATGGTAGCTGGCAGATTCAGAGGTGACATTGCATCTGGCTTTAGAGTCATCCTGAATCAAGCAGTGGTATACATTTGAAGAGAACGTGACTTGGACCCTAAGCCTCACTTTCATTTGTAAACCATTAGGGCCCTTGCAAAGGCACTCCTCTGCCGTGTATTTTCCCCTGGTGCTTATTAGTTTACTGAAAGATGCTGGTGTTGCATAAGCAGAAGTTCCTAGTATCAGAGGATTGCTCCTACAGCAGAAAAGGGGACCACACAAAATGGAAGCTAGGCTTAGGATCGAAACCTATAAATGTATTACGGATTTTGAATAATCTTACTCAAAACAGAATCCATAACAAAAACTTAACCTGGAGCAAAGTTCTGTTGTTTCATGCACACACTTTGCTTCATACAATAAAGCTACATGCTTGTCAATTTTGCAGTTAGCTGTAGCAGCTTTCAACAAAGGAACTGTTTAAATAGCCATTATTTCTGTGCCTCTTTTTCTTAAGGTACTCAGCATTATAACTCACTTTGTTATGAGCTAAAGTAACAAATGTTACCTGGTATAGAGATTATATCTGCTTACAGTTGTCCTAAATATTTATTTAGACAATTACAGAAGAAAAAAGGAGCCTTCTTGTTTAACCAAATGTATCACTTCATTGGCCTTGCTTGTTCCTTTCAGACAAAAGTTGGAGGTGCAAGCCAAAGTGGAGGAAGTTTTGAAGAAGTTCTCAGTTCTACTGCCCATGCCAGTGCCCAGAGTTCCAGTGTGGGCACTCGACTTCCAGAAACAGAAGAGGAGCTTCAGTGCTAGATTGAAGAGATGGTATTGGTTTTCTCCACAGCTCTGCTTAAGACCAATTCAGCTATGTATGTAAGCACTGCATATATTTTTCATGTGAATAGTTGTGACTGAGTGGGGAAACGTTACTTTGAACCAGGAAGCACCAAATACAACCACCATGATTCCCTTGTTCGGACTTACAGGCAGATTTATGGTACATATTCAGAAATGGCTCCTGGGTTTCTAGCATTTTTCTTTGTGGCTGTAGAACATGGAACCTGGGGAAAATAAATGGGTCCTACATGTCAGCAGACTCAGTGTCATTTTATAAATGCTTCTTTTCCATATCCAGCTTCTATAAGAAATGGTTGTTCTACTTTTGAAAATGACCTCTACAAATGTTGTACTTTATAGAAATTTGTCCATATGTGTATATATGTTTATATATTTTCAGAAATTGGTTCAAATAATATATGCTTTAAATTGGATTTCTGAAACTTGGTATTGTGAACAAGTGACTAGCTTGTCCTTAATTTCTTATTTCTTCTCATTTCTACATATGTACCTGCTTTGATCTTTGACTGATTTTATTTAAAGGTCAGGCTGCAGTTTTAGACATGGCATTTGTCCTACGTCTACAACCCACTATTGTTCTACTATTATTATTTGATTCACTGTGACTTGGTGGATTGCTACCTTTTGTAACGAGCCTTCAGTGCCACAGCAGAAGTATTTCTTTGTTACCAATAAACTGTTTTCCTCTACTCAAGGTCTCTGGCTGGACTCTTGCTGCAAGCTGCTGTTTCTTTACAGTCTAAAAGTAAACAATGTAAGAGAATTGAGGTGTTCAGAAACAACTTTTTTTGCTGTCAAGTTAAGCAGCGCTATTTAGCTCCTGTTCTAGAATAGTTTTTAAAATGTTTTAAAAACATTTTGTTAAACATCTCATCAAAATCCTTTGTTTTAATTAAGACAAACTTGATGAAGACAAAAATAAGAACATAAGAAGAGCCCTGCTGGATGAAACCAATGGTCCATCTAGTCCAGCATCCTGTCTCACCCAGTGGCCAACCAGTTCCTTTGGATGGCCAATAACAGGGCATAGAAGCTGAGACCTCCTGGCACTGGGATTCAGAGAATTAGTGCCTCTGGATGTGGAGGTTCCCCTCAGTCACCATGGCTAATAGCCATTGATAGGTTTGTCCTCCATGAATCTGTCTAACCCCCATTTAAAGCTGTTAATTCCTGTGGCCATCCTCTGGCAGTGAATTCCACATTTTAATCACTCTCTGTGTCAAGTAGTTATTTCTTTTGTTCATCCTGAACCTACTGCCCATCAGCTTTATTAGATGCCCTTGAGTTCTAGTATTTTGGGAGAGAAAAATTTCTTTCTCAACTTTCTCCACCCTATGCATAACTTTATAAACCTCTGTTTACGCCCCCCCCCCCCCAGCTGTCTCTTTTCTAAACTGAAAAGTCCCCAACTCTTCAGCCTTTTCTTACAGGGAAGGTACTCCAAGCCCCTAATCATTACCCTCTCTGTACTTTTTCCAGCTCTGCAATGTCCTTTTTGCGATACAGTGACCAGAACTGTACACAGTATTCCAAATGAGATCTATATAGGGGCATTACAATATCAGCCATTTTATTCTCAGTCCCTTTCCTAATAATCCCTAACACAAAGCTTGCCTTTTTCACCTCTGCAGCACACTGGGTGGCCACTTTCATTGAGCTATCCACTACAACGCCAAGATCTTCTTCCCCCCCCTCTCAATCTTAGCAAGTTCATATCCCATTAACCTATATGGGAAGCTGGAATTTTTTGTCTCAATGTGCATACACTTACCAACATTGAACTTTTTTTGCCACATTGTCACCCAGTTTGTGGAGGTCCTCTTGGAGTTCTTCATAGTCATCCTGGATAATTTTGTGTCATCTGCAAACTTGGCCACTTCCAGATCATTGATGAATAAAATAAATAGTACTGGCTCTGATCCCTCTGGGACCCCACTGCTTACTTCCTTCAATTGTGAGAATTGTCCATTGATTCCTGCTCTTTGCTTCCTGTCATTTTAGCAGTTTTTAATCCATACAAGAACCCGTCCTCCTATCCCATGACTGCTAAGTTGACTCAGGAGTCTTTGGTGAGGTACCTCGTCAAAGCCTTTTGAAAATCCAGGTATATAATGTCTACCGGGTCACCATTGTCTACATGCTTGTTCACTTTCTCAAAGAACTCCAAAAGGTTGTTGAGGCAGGACTTCCCTTTGCAGAAGCCATGCTTATTTTCCCTTAGCAGGCTTTGTTTCTCTATGTGCCTAACAATTCTATCTCTGATTACAGTTTCTAGTAATTTGCCTGGGACAGACATTAGGCTGACCGGCCTGTAATTTCCTGGTTCCTTTCTGGATTCCTTTTTAAAAATTAGTGTAACATTTGCTACTCTCTTCTGGTACAGCAGCAGAATTTAGTGATAGGTTATACATATGGGTTAGTAGATTAACTGTGTCACATCTGAGTTCCTTAAGAATTCTCAGGTGTATACCATTAGGATTCAGAAACATTCCAGTTTTTAATTTCCCCAGTAGGTCTAGAACTTCATCCCTAGTCATCTCAATTCGGTGCAGTTCTTCAGACTTTCTTCCTGAAAATAGGGGCTGTGGCATGGATATGTTCCCCACATTTTCCACATTGAACACAGAAGCAAAAAACTCATTGAACTTCTCTGCCATCTCCCCATTTTCCTTTAGCAATCCCTTTATTCCTTTGTCATCCAAAGGCCCCACTGCTTCTCTGGCTGGTCTCCTGCTCCAGATATATTTTTTAAAATTTTTGTCTTGATGCTTTTAGTGACCTGCTCCTCAAAATCTTTTTGCATGCCTATTTATTGACTTAACATTTCTTTTGCCAGAGCCTGTGGTCCCTCCTGTTCAATTCATTGGGGCAGACCTTCCACTTTTTCAAAGAAGCTGCCTTACTTTTTATAGCTTCCTTGACTTGTGTTGTTAACCATACAGGCCTTCGTTTAGACTTGGCAGTACCTTTCCTAACCTGTGGAATGCATTCTATATGAACTTCAATTAGTGTGGTTTTTAATAGCTTCCAAGCATTCTCTAGGGATTTGACTCTGTTGTGTTTCCCCTTCAGCTTCCTTTTTACTATTCCCATCATTTTTATACAATTCCCTCTTTTGAAATCAAATGTTACAGTTTTGGACTTCAGAGGTAACTTTCCATTGATTTGATTGCTGAATTTAATAGCATTGTGGTCACTGTTCCCAACTGGTGTAACAACCTCTTCATCTCTCACCAGGTCTTGAGACCCGCTCAGAATCAAGTCCAAGATCACTACCCCTCTGGTTGGCTCTGTGACCAACTGTTCCAGTGCACAGTCATTTATGATGTCTAGGAATTTCATTTCTACAGCATGACTCGAGCACATGTTTACCCAGTCAGTGTGAGGGTAATTGAAGTCTACTAGTATAATAACATCATCTGCTTTAGAACAAATTTAGAGTCCAGTGGCACCCTTAAGACCAACAAAGGTTTATTCAAGGTAGGAGCTTTCATGTGCAAGGCACACTTTTTCAAATACATTGGAATGGTGTATCAGGTTCAAACTTATAGATCTTACACACCATTCTAATGTATTTGAAAAAGTGTGCCTTGCACACAAAAGTTCATACCTTTAATAAATTTCTGGTGGTCTTAAAGGTGCCACTGGACTCTAAATTTGTTCTGCTGCTTTAGACCAACACAGCTGACCAACTGGATGTATCATCTGCTGCAGCCACCGCCCTTATTTCCAATAAAGAACCATCTCAAGATCAGCCTCAAGGGTTTGATCAGGCAGGCAATAGTACACCCCCACTTTTAAATAACCCTTAGGGCCCAGTATTTCCACCCATATATAGCTTCTGTTGGGGAGTTAGTTCACCTGATGTTTTCTAACTTATTTGATTCTATGCCCTCTTTGATTTACAATGCAACACCAACAACAACCTGTCCCTCCCAATCCTGCCTATAGAGCTTATACCCAGGAATGACTGTATCCCATAGATTTTCCCCATTCCACCATGTTTCTGATACTACTATATCTAAATTATCATTGAACACCTAGCACTCCAGCTCCCCCATCTTGGCTTGGAGGCTTCTAACATTGGCATATAGACACCGATAACGTGTTTCCCTCGCCTTCCTCAGCCCCTAAGTCGCCATGGTGCCCTCACTCCAAAGTTCTATTATGGTCTAATTGTTATTACTCTGAGTAAACAATCATCCCTTCGGACTGTCTTGTCTCAAACTGGAGGCTCCCCAGCTCCTGTCAGCTTCCCCAGTTTAAAAATAGAATTGGATTTATACCCCGCCCTTCACTCAGAGTTGCTTACAATCTCCTTCCCTTCCTCTCCCCACAACAGATAGGTGTGGCTAAGAGAGCTCTGAGAGAATTGTGAGTGATCCAAGGTCACCCAGCTGGCTGCATGTGGAGGAGTGGGGAATCAAACCCAGTTCTCCCATCACTCTTAACCACTACATCAGACTGTTCTACCACATTTTTGATAATAATCGCCAGCAGCCTTGTTCCCTTCTGGTTCAAGTGAAGCCCATCTCTTCTGTGCAGGTTCAGCTTGTCCCAGAAAGTTCCCTAGTGCCTAAAAATCTAAACCCTTCCTCCTGGCACCAGTTTCTCATCCACACATCGAGACTCCTGATCTGTGCCTGTCTAGCTGGCAGCAGCAATTCTGAGAATGCTACCTTTGAGATCCCGGCCTTTAATGTTCTGCCTAGTAAACTAATTTTTTCCTCCAGGACCACACGACTACATTTTCCCAATGACATTGGTGCAAATGTGCGCCATGACTGCTGCCTCCTATCTAAGTACATGATGTCCACAACCTTCAAACAAAGCAGGCAAGTTGCTATACGGTCAAAATGCCTGTCACAGATCCGACTCTGTATTTTCCTAATGATCGAATCACCCAGTACCAGAAGCCCACCTCCCCCCAAGCACTCCAGAAGTATTCTTGGCACCAGAGGATACTGGTCACTTCTAAGGGATCGGATCCCTCCCCCTCAGATTGATGTAGTATTTCAAAGCACACAAAAGCTTATACCTTGAATAAAACTTTGTTGGTCTTAAAGGTGTCACTGGACTCAAACCTTGTCCTAGTCAACATGTTTTTTCTCTTAAAAGCCTATTGATTTACTGCTGATTAAGGGGTAAGAAACACGTGCCTAATCCCTATGGTAACATTTAGTTCAAGATGATATGTTATGTAATGTTATTGCCGTCAGAATTTTACTTATGCTTCACTTCAAATGGCTTGGTCAAGGCAGGGGTGGGCGGGCAGGTGCTAAGCATGAAAATATATCTTCTGTAACTTCACTGGTGAAAACATGTGCAAGAAACATAGGCGTTCCAGTTGAGACAGCACCACTTTTCTTGTAACAGTTTGTGCCTACCATGAGCCTTGACTTACACATGAATGGGAGCTATAGGTGACATCTTCCAAAGGCTGATTCATACAACTAGCGCCCACCTTTCTTAAGCAGAAATTAATGTGGGAAAATATCACATATTGAGTCCCCTGTACTGCGACTATTTTACAGAGGATAGAATGGGACTGAATCTTTTTGGCACTGTATTCTGTTGAGCTAGCTATCAGAATCATAATGGTTTATACAAAATTTCAGCAAACCGATCTTTGCAAAAAAACAACAACCCCACCTGTGAGAGCCTCAGCTGAGGCTGAGAGGTTAGGTATAGATTATGTTAAATTCTTGTCTTCAGCAGTGTCCCCCCCCCCCCTTCACAAGAACATGGAAATTCTTCTCTCTACATGATAACCAGCAAACATCTGTATGGAATAGGTGTAAACTGAATTTGGCTCCAGCTTCTTCACACAAGGCTTTGAAAACTGGAATTTGTGGCATTGCCTCAGATGTGGTTAACAATTTTAACAATGGCAGAACAGACCTTGAAAAGAGGAAAGAATCTTCATGGCATATTGATGAAGCATACAATGTTGAATTTGGTGTGTGTTCTGGGGGGAGAGGTCAGCAACATGCACCACAAATACCCATCAGCAACTGTGCCCTTTCAGTGAATATGCCAAATACCATTTGCACACTCCATCTCCTTATGGGCAATTAAGGGTTCCTTCCTGAATGCACCTTCTTCACAGGTAGCTGTGATGTTCTCTGAATTGCTGATGTCATAGTTCTCAGAGGTGTCTTTTGAGAATTTAGCATAACACTACTAGCACTTGAACACAAGTGACAACAGCTGTTCATTTATCTACCAAGAAACACAAAGTAGGAGCTTGAAATTGCAACTACTTGATCCAAAATGTCTGTTCATCTTTCTTGCGTGTTGCTCACCAAGGACAATCCTCACTGCTTCTTCTAGACATAGCTCAAGAAGATCCTCAGATTGTATAGAATGTCTTAAATTCAGCACTATGGAAAGTTATACTGAGGACGGCAAGAACAGGTTTTGTCTGAGCAAAAGATCCCACTGAATCTACACAAAAAATTTTAAGGATGCATTCCTTTTTAAAACATCACTCTCTCTCTCTGCAAACTATGTGACTTGGTTCAATATGATCCTTTAATCTACTGGGTTTCATGCTCTCCACACAAAGGACATTACTGCAGAGAATACGCCGAGGCCTTTCCGTGGATATGCAATGCAAGCTCATGTGGGCATATTCTTGAGAGGGGTGCATAGTGATCATTACTACAAACAGGTCAGTTGTCCCTCCCCCTGGAGAGCGGACTCCAGTTCAGCATATAAACATTAACAAACTCTACCCAAGCTTGACTCTTACACTAGAGCAAGGCAGTTTTCACCTGTCCAGTAGCCCCCACCCCCTTGGCTGAAATTGATCATGCTGTTAAGGTACCAAGTGGACAGGCTACCCACTTGCCTGGCCTATTCCCCATTGCAAGAAAGCTGATCTTGGCCCCTCTTGCAGATTGTCCCATCTTCATCCTTTATCTAAGAATCACTACGTATTTCACTTGATCCCCGATTTTTTAAAAATGGGAACACTGTCACTCTTTGATGAGAGCTGCCTAAATCAAAGCAGTGTGCACAGGAGACTGTCCAAGCTATAAGCCCTGGAGTCAGGCCCGTAGCTAGGACCTTTTTAGTGGGGGGGGCCCTGGGGAAAGTGGGGGGGGCAAGTCATTGTTCTTACCTAGGGTTGCCAAGTCAAAATAATGCCGTAATGGGGGACTCCTGGCGCGAGGAGGGGGCCCACAAAACCCACGGGGGGGTGACCCCGTGGGCCCCATGCGAGCTACGGGCCTGCCTGGAGTTGCTTATGCCACCTTAAGGCCAATGATCAAAACCAACACACCCCACTGGTAGCATAACTTTTTTTTAATTTAGGTAACAACTGCAAATATTCAAAAGACCACTCAAGATGCAGGATCGCTGTTCGATGCATCAGCTATTTTTGTATTTCTTTCTGTATTTATGGAAGACACAAACTGAACAATTTCTGGATGATTAAATTTTCCTGCAAATCAAGAGATCACAATTAGTTAACCTGCTTTCTCATTTTGTTAGGTGCTAGAAAATGGTAGTAATATTTCTAATCACTTCCCAACACAAATTCATTACTGCACACCCTTTCTCATCCTTTTAATTTTTGCAGTCTGTTCTATAAACCTCAATGGAAGCATGGGGCACAGTAAGGTAGGGACACTGCCACAAATGGTATAAAGGCCAGTGGTTCATACTAGTATGGAGGAGAAAGTATTCTGTGTAGGCAATATACTCCTAATGTGTTAAAAGCATAGACCACAGCAAATAATGCACCTGATACCACATGCCTAACATGTGTTTTCCAAGACAGCAGTGAGCCATGTTTGCAATAAGCATGCCAGATTTTGGTTTAAAAAGAAAAAAAATAATCTCACTGAATGCATGGAAACCTTATGCTTGCCTCAAATAGCTTTTTGTATTTTCATTTCCATCTCACCTTTTGACTCACAAAAATGCAGGGAGTTCAGCAATTTTGTGAAAGCAGTTTAACTTTGTATAATGAAAAGGTACAAGTAGACAACTTGGTTTAATAACTTCTGCAAAGCCTGGAGTTGAAGCTGCCTTATACTGAATCAGACAGTTGGTCCAATAAAGTCAGTACTGACTCCTCAGACTGGCCGTGGCTCTCCAAGGTCTCAGGCAGAGAGAGGTCTTTCACATTACCCACTGCCTGATCCTTTTAACTGGAGATCCCAGTGATGGAACCCTAGACCTGCATGACAGACAGATGCTCTGCAGCATAAATAGCAGACGTATTTACTACTATGTAGATCTAGTTTCGCAGACTCAGAAGACTGATAAGGTATTTATCCAGCCTGCTTTAAGCTTTTTTTTTTTTGCCATCAAGAGACATTCAGAGGTGGTTTGCCACTGTCTGCCTCTGTGTATTGACCTTGACTTATTTGGGTACTCAAATCAGGTGCTGTGTTTACCAAACACGATTAATATTCACTCTGTGAGGACTTTCCCAGGTTGGGCAGTTTCAATCCTGCCTCACACCATAGTCCCTCTCTGAACTGGGCACATGTGATTTGCAGAAGAAAAGTGCTGGGTGCTTCATTCAAAAACTCCAGCTATCATATCTGGTTTGGCCCTCATGCAACCCCAAGCATAGCAGTCACCTTTCCACCATTATAAATAACACAAGCATCACTTACCTGCAGTTGAATCGTAAAAATCCTGCAGTCTTCCAGGTTTTTTTTCTAACTCTTCGTACTCAAAAGCTTGAAGTATCATCTCACATTGATCCAGCTCTTTCACAAATCTTGCTTCAGCAGTAGACTGGTATTCATATTCCTAAATGGAATGAGCATCATCAAAAAATGTATTTAATTTAACTCCCTTTTATTGAGAGGGAAGATCAAAGAAATCACATAGTTGCAAACAGTGAACACCCTGTATCACTGATTATATAATTTGCATAGGAAGCAAATTACATGCAAAAATCATCTTACATTTAACTGTCTGTGATTAATCCAGTAAGTTTTGTAGGACCTCAACATGAACCACACACAAATCTAGAGTCCTGGAAATTATTGTTTGACCTGACTAGATCCAGCCAGAGATTGTAAACATATGTAATCATCACATCCAAGACTGGAAGAAACCTTTCCCTAGACAAAAAACCTTCAGCCAAGAGGATTCTCAGAAGTGTCACTTTAGTCTATGGCTGTCTCCCCCCCCCCCCCCCCCCCTTCTCCATCTCTCAATGGTTAAATACTTACTTTTCCAACAGGCTACTGCCACCCACTGCTACTCCTGGATTTGATTCTTGGCATAACAAAACTACTCCTCAACGTCTAGTTTTAAGTTTGGAATATCTGGAAGTTGCACACTTGTATACGATGCCTTGTGGCTTTATTTGTCCATTTATAAAATAAAAGATGACCAAGTTTTGACACTGTATCAGTCTCAAGTTTATTATGTAGTAAGAATTATTGTTCCTAAGCTGAAAGCAGCATTATTTTGTTATATCAACAGTACTAAAATCCCCAATCTTCTGGTTCCATAATAAGTGTTTATTCTTGGAGCAAGCCAATCCTCTGTAAGTACAAAAAAGCCTCCTGAATTTTACTGGCCATGCTCTCCACAAACACTAACTTATTTAGGCAGTAGCAATCTGTTGTTGTTGTTCAGTCGCACAGTCGAATCCGACTCTTTGCGACCCCATGGACCAGCTCCCGCCAGGCCCTCTTGTCTTCCGCCGTCCTCTGAAGTTGGCTCAATTTCATGTTCGTTGCATCGATGACACTGTCTAACCCTTATTTTATCTGGCTAGAGCCTTCATTATTCTGGCTGGCAAATGCTCTATACTATTTCACCCGGCTAAAGCCTTCATTTTCAGCCACTACCTAAATAAGTTGCTACTACCTAAATAAGTTAGTGTTTGTGGAGAGCATGGCCAGTAAAATTCAGGAGGCTTTTTTGTACTTACAGAGGATTGGCTTGCTCCAAGAATAAACACTTATTATGGAACCAGAAGATATTATGAAGGAAATTAAGAATTTACAATGCTGAGCTGGATTTAAGAAGCTGACACCTCCTTTAAATATTGGATTATGTCTGAGGAAGACTATAAAGCTGAAATGAGTTCACAACAGGGTACTCATTATGTTGGACTATGTGTACTTTTTTGCAACACTGTATAAGTGAGAATGTTGGACAAATTGTTGCACTTTTGTAAAGTTTTAGAAAAGCAATGTAAATCTTATAAATGTTGTTCATATCACAGGGTTTGCTTGTGGTTTTTTCCTGTGGATATCTGTGATCCCTTTTGTTTTGTTTTGTGCTTCTTTGCAAGAGACAAGTCTGTTGCCCTTTTCTTCAAGGGCACAATTTCATTAAAGCCCTATACAGCCTAGAGCCAGCATATCTGAAGGACTGCCTACTCCCATATTCAACCACTCCAGTCATCTTCACAAGCCCACCTTGACTAGCCCTGCAATCTGATGCTAGACAGATGGCAACCTGAACAAAGACCTTCTTGCCACCAAACCTTTTGAACTCCTTCCTCGGCAGTGTTCTCTGTAAGCTGAGTTAGTGTGAGCTAGCTCACAGTTTTTTAGCCTCCGGCACACACATTTTTGTCTTAGCTCAAGAAGGATGGCTCCAAAGCAAACTAATTTATGCAGTAGTCAAATTGTTCATTCACAACTTTAATGCCAGTAGTTCACAAAGCAGAATTTTGGCTCACAAGACTCCACAGCTTAGAGGGAGCATTGCTCCTCAGGGAGATTAATCTAGCTCCCTCTATAATTGTATTTACCAGCAGTGGAAAATGTAAGAATGTAAGAATCCAGCTTTGCTGGATCAAACCAGTGGTCCATCTAGTCTAGCATCCTGTCTCACACAGTGGCCAACCAATTACTCTGGAGAGCCAACAACAGGACCATAAAGGCTGAAGCCTTCCCCAGATGTTGCTTCCTATCATTGGTTTACTGCCTCTGAATGTGGAGGCTGCTTTAGTCACCATGAGTAGGGATGTGCATTTCGGGATCCCGAACCAAAAAAAAAGCCAAAAATAACGTTTTTCGGCTTTTTTCGGCTTTTGCAATCCCGAAATGGCTTCCTACGCGTTTTTCCGAATCCTGAAAAAAAATCCCGAAAAAATTCGGGAATCCCGAAAAAATTCGGGTCCATTATAACCAATGGGGCCATTGAAGTCAATGGCAAAAAACCTCTTGAAACTTTGCGGGGGGCTGGGGG